CACCCTTTCTACACCGCAACCCCCAGACATGGCTGGTCCTGACCTAAGGGGAACCTCCCCCCCCCTCCCACTGCAATTTATTTTATTTTAAATTTCACATTTTTGAACCACTCATTTTTGAACCACTCATCTCCCTCAGAGAGGGACTCCTTTTTTGTTACTCCTATTATGCCATTTAATTTTAAGGCTTTTTCATCCCAAATGAAAATAATCTAAATTATTTTCCTTTGGGATGAAAAAAGGAATATAAAAAGAAAAGTATATGTTGCCAGATGGAATATTTCTGAAACTTGGTTCAAAATAAATCAGGATTGATAAATCACAATTTAAACAGCTGTCTTCTCCATGAGTGCAGATATAATGAAAGCTTGGCTTATTTCAAATTATTTTAATATCATGCTTTATATTTTAAATTCGTGCAATAGTCAAAGTTCTTTGAATAATTTGTTGAGTTATTTAAAACGTTTAAACTAAGAAAAGGAATAGTTAAGCTGTGGAAAACAATTAAGTGTATTTATAAATATCAAGTATATCTTTTCAATCTCATATTATCAACTGCATAAAAAATGGAATGGAAAGGAGTTGAAGATCATTCACAAAATATGAGTCAATAGTTTCCTATAACACCTGAACAAGAACTTTCACAAAAGCCCAGCACACGAGATCTTATCTATATAGCCAGTTCTATTTTCATTTCCACCTTTGATTCACTCATCCTAATTTGTAACCTAACATCGGTATTACTTTTCTTGGAAGAAAACTTGTGTTTTATCATCGGCCCTGTAGCTAAAGAATAAAGAGATGCTTTGCCAACTTAGAGTTTTGAGGAAGAAAAACTCCCAGGAGGCTGTAATTATGCCCCGGACTTCCAGTGTTGCTTAACTCTATGGATTCAATCTTTCTGAGGGGTTGGATGCATCCATATCTCAACCAACTTGATCAAGAAGATCTGAGCTTCACAATCAGGTTTAATAAGTAGACCCTTGACACGTTCCAAGAAATTCTGTGACAGAAGAAAAAAATATCAAATTGAAGATATACCAACATGAAGATGTAGCAGTCTTTTCTATTTTTGAATTTTGATTTGCTCACTGCCTGCAAAGACAAATCATTTCGACATTAGATAGCATCCACAAAACTTGTGCCACCATTCACCAGTTTCCATATTTTATTTTCTTGTGGCTCAGGCTGAAAGTGATCCAGGTTTTCTGAGAAAGAGGCAATTATCTCCCCCACCATTTTGGCTCTTATTATGCTCAGAAGGTGCCTAACAGAAGATCCCTGTGACTACAGATAGTCCTCCACTTATGATTCCTGATTCTAGGAACACGGACTGATGCGGGACAGCTAGAAACAATACGGCCAATTAGGGTGGGTAGACCGGTAACTCGCTCCATGAGCAGAGCGCAAAAACAGCCACATTGCCACAATTTGGCAAAGGCAATATACCATGTTACTTTATACTACATGAACTGCATGCTTCCCCATCCAAAAAGTTGAGTATTCATGTAAAAACTGACTTTTTCATTCATTTGGCTATTCATGCCTAGTTTCATCTTAGATATGCAGGGTGGGAAAAGTGCTATATATCAGTGTTTGTCAAGAGCGTGCAAAATAGCATTTTCTTCCAGGAAAAAAAAGGTACTGTAACAAAGAACTGAAGCTGGGAAATGATTAAGTGTGGGGGCCATGAAAAAAAAATGACTTGGGTGGAATGGTTGTTATCTATATCTTAATTAGGGGAAAGGTGTTATTTTCATGGGCTAATTAAAATCCACGTCCTCCTACAAAGTTTTCAAATATAGATGAATCAGAGGCTTCCCAGGAGAGATTTCTCAGTGATACATAATAAATGCCTGAAGCTTTCAAGTCAAATATAAATTCAAGGAAAGTGTACAGCACAGTTGAGAGATGAGAGAAACATGCATCCCCAAGGGAAGTTCTTAAATTTCTTTTAGTATAGAGATTATTTCTCACATTATGTTTTTATAAAAAAAATGTTGCAGTTGAATGAAATATATCTTGTACTTCATAGACCCTAAAGCTTTTCTAGCAGTTGGACTCGTTTAAAAAAAATAAACTGCAAGGGTTCCTAGAAAAAAAATAAGTCAGCCCATGGAATAACCTAACAATATTTTAAACTCTTTGATAATGCAGTGCATTCCACTCTGTCTATGAATTTTTCAAATCTACAAAACAATTTCATCACTAAGAAGATGCCAATCCTAGCATGCTCTTTAAAAAAGTCCAATTTATTCTATCTGCAACAATAAGTAAGAAATAAAAAAGCAACCAATGCTATTTGCTCCATCTCATATTTAAGACAGTTTTATTTTTCATATACAAGTGTGAACATGCACCTAAAAAAAATACTTAGATAATTAGACAAAAAATATGTGTCAGAAAATATGTACCGTATTTTCCGGCATATAAGACGACTGGGCGTATAAGACGACCCCCAACTTTTCCAGTTAAAATATAGAGTTTGAGCGAGAGAGGGGGGGAGAGAAAACTTGATGAGTAATATGTCAAACCACATGTGTAACGGAATAAAATAGAATACCCGTATTTTCCAGCGTATAAGACGACTGGGCGTATAAGACGACCCCCGACTTTTGAGAAGATTTTCAGGGTTTAGAAAGTCGTCTTATACGCCGGAAAATACGGTATATCAAAACTTCGATGACGGAACATCCACAATTAATCATAAAAATGTGGGAACAATTTCTTGAACATTCAACAGATCCAAAGGTGACAGGTGCCCTGACCACAATTTTTCATCTTTGGATTCCAGGTCAGCAATTTGATTTAATAAATAAATAATAAAAGCAAGTTCAATTGGAGGACTTTGAAGCCTATTTAATTCATCTGAGGGTTAAATCCAAATATTCAGATTCAGATTGATAATCATGGCAAATTCCCAGTTTTAATTTTTGAACAAAGTTAAAGGCAAGTTATTATACAAGGACCTTTAAAAAAATTGTTAACTGATTTTTGTATGTAAAGAAAGTTCCTGTAATCCTTTTTTCTAACCTTCCATGGGGATAAAGCCTGCTGTGTATTTCAGACAAATACAAGTCTGCAGGAGCTGAAGTTTTCATTACAATAACTATTGTGCCATTGCACCTTAAGTTTTACTCTTTTTGAATGTTTGTCTGTTTGTTTGTTTTTGTTCTATTTATATAGCTGCATTTCATACATGTGATGCTGAGTGGTTCACAGACTTAAAAACAAAAGCAAACAGTTATTGTATAACAACCAAAATTAAAACTATTTTTAAAAAAACCATTAAAACAGATAGAATTTAACCTATGGGTGTGTACAATCCATAAAATGACAATACAAGCAGCTAATAGGCCCCAGACCACCATTGTATCCTCAACCACAATGGCAAAGCCATGTCTTCAGATCCTTCCAAAAGGCCAGCAGGGTCATGAGCAGTTTAACCTTGGGGGAATGATGTTCCAAAGAGCAGATGCTGTGGCAGGGAAAGCCTTTTCTCCTGGGTGCTATCAGATGACATTTCTTAGTAGAAGGACCAGCAACATGCTCTTCTGCCAGTCCTAATGGGACAAATAGATGTAACCAAGGAGAGGTAGTTCCCTGAAATAACCTGTCCCCATACCGTGCACAGCTTTATAGTACATTACCAGCATCTTGAACCTTGCAACATCACCAAGCATTATAAAAGACATTGGACTTAGTTTGCAGTGCAATTTTATTTTGTATGACTCCTCCAATTGACACCTCTGGTTTCTATAATCTCCCTCTCTCATTCGTCATGCAGGAATTAAACAAAGGTACCATCTAAAATGTTGTAGTTTCGTACCTAAGCCACTTTGCAGCCTTTTGTGAGGTGGGAGATGTTCTCTTTCCATGCCATGTACAAAATAGGCTGGCCTGTTTTTTAATTTTAATTTTAGTTCTATCAGCAGCAAGAGACCCTATGCGTGGCACATAGCAATTTAAACTTTAGCATCTTTTTGTAGGTTTTTTTTTCCCCCACAGTGTTCCTAGAAAGGGAACAAATTTTCTGATAGACTTTCGGCAAAAGAAAAACTTACTACTTAGCACTTAATTCCCCCCCCCCTCTTTTATTGTAATGTCTATTCCCTTTTTTATGTTTTTTTCCCAGGTTTCTTTATGAGCCTGAAAAAAAGTAATATTGCTGCTATAATGAGTCAAAACATTAAAGCCCCACATCTTTAATGTGACCTTTAAAGCAGTGGAGAAACTTGACCTCTGAAAGCTGGATTAGCTGCAGAATTTTGGGTGTTACAGTCCGAGCAGGCACCAGATACTTACAAAAGGCTGGCACATGTTTGCCAAATAATGATATGTGATGCAGAGTAGGTGAAGAGTTGTCAGATGGCCCAGAAGTATTGTTGGTTATGGACTTCATAAATCCAAGTGATTGGTCATAATGGCAGTGGAATAACCGGTTATGAACAATGAAGTACATGCCAAGTAAAAAGTAGCATATATCTCAGCTTTAATAGTGCATCAAACAATCCCCCAATTCTGGGAATTTGACATTTTCTACTAATTTTCTTAAGCTAAATATTTAGCAAATTTGTTCCACCCTAGCTGTCAATTTCTAAATGTTGCTTTAGTCAGTTTGACCTATTCTTTCTATTATTTTATTAAACGTTGAGTCAGATGTTCACTCTAGATAAACAATAATGTGTGTTTCTTATTCTTTTTTCTCTCTCTTTCAGTTCTTCATGTTTATTTTGCTAATCTTCCTGGCAGAACTCTCGGCTGCAATCTTGGCATTTATCTTTAGAGAAAATGTGAGTATGATGATAATGGAATGTTCTTTAGGAATCTGCAGAATTATATTCAGTTGGACTTCTACTTTATAAATTTGCTGAGCCGTCCTTTGTTCAGGATGCTAAATTATTTCCATTTAGTCTAAGCAGTTTGAAACCACCCATTGAAAGTAAACAAACACAGCTTGGGTCATGCATTGATGCTTTATTGGTAGAAGACAGAGCCTGCTTTTCAGGAAAAGTTCATCTTTAAAATTGAATTAGCTTTATTTTGAGAATTTAGGGATTAAACTAGTGGTTTGAGATTTTAAGGGTGCAAATCTATGATCTCTGGGAGAGCATTCCAAGGGCCATATGATAAGTTGGACTTTCCCAACTGAATGCAGAGAGATCCCATCTTGGAAATGGACACTAGTGTCCTTAGATGGACTCTCTGTAGATCTGGGAGAACTGCTGAGATTGTTGCTTCTCTAGCAGAAGTGTGAGATTGGTAGAGAGTCTAAATTTCCAGATATTTTCCTGACATTAGTAAAACAAACAAACAAAAAAAAACCACAGCATATCAATCCTGAAGCTAAATGGGCACAGTCTCACTGAGAGAGATTTTACCAATGAAAGAAAAAGGAAAACAGTATATTTTTATGCAATGTTAGTAATTATGAAAAAGGCATATATTTGAAAAATGTAAATGAATGAATAAAATGCAAATCTTTTCCTCTTGTCATTACAAATCTAGCAGAGCTTTATATTGGATGATTCCTCTGCTTGGGCTCATTTCATCATTGTATTTGCTCTAAGAAATAATTGGATGCAGAAAAAATTACATGTTTATCCCACCCACTCCAAACTTCTTTTGATAGTGTGTGACAAATTAAATAAATTTAATCAGCTTATTTTGCTCTGTAATGTTTATCTGTCCACTAGTCCCATGGCAAATGTTGTTGGACAAAAAAGATGTCAAGCTTATGGCGGGGGGGGGGGAGGAGATTGAAATTGTTGGGTTTTTTTTCTTGATCATTATTGAGTAGAATTATGAGTAAGAGTAGAAATAGTATCTACTCTCATGAAATAAAAGGAAACAATGAATTCAGTCTGCTATTTCTGTGGTTTTCCCTTTTTTAAATTCTCAGTTACCCAGATTACTTTGTGGTATTAAATAAATAGGAAAAAGATAACTTGCATAATAGAATATTTGATGGGATTTTAAAAAAATTGAGACTGTGAGTGTGAGAATAAGTGGGAAAGAAAAGAACTAAGAGTTATGGCCAAACAATCTGTGGGTTATTTCTCAAGAGTAAGACAATGGTGGATATTCATTTAAACTATACTCTCTACTTGGCTTTTAGCTACTTGTCCTGTAGGACCTAATTGGGAAAAAGGTCCCAGCTGAATATTTGTCTTAGCTTTTTCTATGTTGCAAAACCACTTTAGGAGACCTGTGTCTGACCTGGTGCTTTTATTGTTTTTCTTCCTCATCTACTATAGCAGCTGGATTTGCAGCAATATATTTATCCAATTTTCTATTAAGCATTGTATCGATTTTGGTTGTTCCTGGGACAAATATACTGTAGACCAGTGATGGCGAACCTTTTAGAGACTGAGTGCCCAAAAACTGGCCCCGGCCCCGCTCCATCCCCACTCTGCCCCACCCTGCCTGCCTGCGGGGCCACTCATCACCTCCAGGGCCCGCCGCGAGGGCAGAATCTTGTCTATGCTGCCTGGCTGCCATGTCCTTGGCTGCGCTGCTCCGCATGGGCCACGCTCGGGGGTGACTCTCCTCCAGGAGGGCTGCTGGTGAGGGGGTTGCGAGCGGAAGTAAGGCTGGGGCAACAGCACGTGTTCCCACAGAGAGGGCTCCGAGTGCCGCCTCTGGCACCCGTGCCATAGGTTCGCCATCACTGCTGTAGACTTTTATTAGTTGGGTAATTGACCATGTTTCAAAAAACAGTCCACTACATTTACATGACTAAACATTTGCAAATAGCAGGGGGAAAAAAAAGGAAAGTAGGCAAGAGCAAACTAAGGGAGAATATCTCACAAGAGAATAGGTAAAACAAAGCTCATGGGTAGCAGAACTAAGCTCATGGTGAGCAGAATATATTAGTGCTATACCACAAATTATTCTCCTTATAAAGCAGAATAGAGGAGAGAACATCTCATGATTCTGTTTTCTATCCCTATTCTACTGCCACTGAGACTAGCCATGCTAATTAACCACTCTATTATTTCCAGGGGTTTTGTGAGTTCTGAGATTACTAAACTGTTTGCTTCTTTCCCTCCCTTTGTAGTTCATCTCTTTTCCTCTATCTCTGTCTCTTGCCTGGCCTATATCCTGTTTTTGCTAATGTTGATGTTTATTATTAGGTCACCAAAGCATTAATTGCTAACTGAGTTGGCATGCATGCTGGTCAGATCTGGCTGCAGGAATTGACAGGAAATGCGCTGGATGCAAAAATAAAGCTGGAAATTACTCTTATTCCTGTAGAAGAATTTTACATGGATTTTATTGTCCCAATGAAACCCCATTTCTAAATTTTAATAGAGGTCTTAAAGAAAGATGTGAGAAGTGCAGAACAAATATCATAACAGCCATATCTTTCCAAAGATTAAAAGCACAGAAGGCCTCCTTTGATGGTCCCATAGTTGAAAAAGAAGGAAAAGACTAATGCTTTGTAAACAGTTTAAAGGCTTTCTCTTTCTGAACAATGGAGACAAAGAGAGAAACAAGACTGCAGTGACAGTGACTGCTCTATAAATAACGATCACTTCCTGAGCAAATCTGCTATGGTCAATCCAGTCTCTATTTTCTGAATTAGTGACATTCCTTTAGGAGACACAAGTGGGAGACCTCACAGCAAGAGAAAACCACACATGTAATCTGTCAAATTATATCTTTGAATATGACCAACCCAGATACATGCATAGATAGCCACACATGCGCACAAATCAGTGGAGAGGGGCAGAGTTGAGGGATGCATTCCTGTGGTAGCAGGAATTGGTAGCAGTCAAATTCAGAGAAAGCAGTTCTGAATTTGTTGCAATATATGGACAGGAGCACCAACCCAGCCAAACAAATAATTAAATCAAGATCACCTTTGATGGTAGCAAGTAGATCTGCCCTTTATTACAGGATAAATATATGTAGTTATATGCGTGGGGTTGGGCACAGCATCTGGTTCAAGAATCCTAGCAGCTGCAGATTACATTTCAAAGAAAGGTCTAGTTCGGGGGTAGGCAACCTTGGCTCTTTTATGACTCGTGGACTTCGACTCCCAGAATTCCTGAGCCAGCCATGCTGGCTCAGGAATTCTGGGAGTTGACGTCCACGAGTCATAAAAGAGCCAAGGTTGCCTACCCCTGGTCTAGTTGGTTTGAGTACTTTAACATGCCAAGGTATAAGTGGGGTAGCCAGGGAAACATTTTCAAATGCTTTGTAGATTTCATAGTTGTGATTAGGCAGAGGAACATTAAGTCTTAAGAAAATAAAAAGAACATAAAAGAGGATATTAAAATGATTGCAGAGTGAATCCTCTAGGGAATGAATCATCAAAGCAGCAAAAATGCTTGGCAGCCAAGATGATTTGTTTTCCATTGATGGGAGAATTTGATGAAGGGGATTTGAAAATAGTTCTGCCACTTGGTAGGTTGGTGTGGAAGCAGATCTTATTCTACCACTTACAATCCACTTTGTACACAGTTGAATAGGAACTTTAATTTATCAGATTACTATAATGGCGTGACACAGCTTTCCCCATCTGATCATTCAATTATTATTTTTAATGGGAAATTTTAAGAGTGATACTCCAACATACAGTATTTTTCAGGTTGAAAAACTGCTGATATTGTAAATGTATATATTCACTATAATTATATATAATTGAACAAATGAAATGGCCGTAACACTCCTCATTAATGTATCTTTCAAAGCAACCCACTTAAGAGCAATTGAGACTGACTGCTTGTGACTTTTCCAGGCAATAGTATAAAAGTAGTTTGTCCTTGTCTTCTTCTGGAATGTCTGGGTAAAGGTCAAGTGGTGTCTAAAGCACATCCCAAAAATGGTGACCCCCATCAGTGGAACTGAAAATGCTACTTCACAAGAGAGAAACAAATGCAATGTCTGCTTATATCTTCAAACCAAATATTTAAAGTTTAGTGATTCACCATGCCAAAGAAAAAAAACTTCCTTAACAATACAGGTTAAAGTTGAACATGGCAGATAAGGACAATTACTAAACAAAGCCCAAAAAACTCAAGTGTGGCAGTGAAAAAATTAAGGGCAGGATAGTTTGGGGGAAAAAAAACTCTGTGGTGTTCCTCTTCCCTTGGTGCTTATTGTACTTAATGGTTAATCCAGTTTTAGCTTAACTGAATATATGAGGGTAGATCTGGAATTTTTAAATCCAGATCTGGAATTTAATAGACCCATGATTTTTTAGCCCAAATACTAGATGAGATGACCTTTCATATTCATTTGGAATGGGTTACTTCAGTTTTTACCAACTATTATGCTTGATTTCTTTTTAAATAAAAAAGTTATTTTGAAATAACCAAAAATAAATAGCAGTCTAATGCCTGTTTACAAAACTCACAGTAATTAGCAACTCTTTAGTTTTTGACACAAAAGATGGGTAAATTAAGGCCGAAGCTTATATTCGTGCAAAAAAAGGGGCGTAATGTCCCCTTTACATTATTAGTTCAGTTCAGAATAATGCACAACAAACACTTAGTATGAATATATTGTAGTCCTGTGTCAGAGCACTTACCCACAGAATCTGGAACAAGCAATAATGGTAACTATAGTGATAATATTCTGGAGCACAATGCCTGGTTAAATTGAATGGAGGTGAGATGATTGGAGTGATCAGCTCCTAATTAGCATTTCAGTATCCTGTATCATATAAACCATTTCCTTGGATTATGGTCAAAGCCAGCCTCTTATGATATTGTAAAGAATGATAGGTACAGTGTCTGTACCACAGCTCTTAGGCACCTCCAAATATTCAACTTTAATTATTTTT